TTTTTTTTTTTTTTTTTATTATGACACTATTTAAGTGAATGAGCCATATCGTCGATGTTTTTGCAAAACCGCCCATCGATCGGCGTATCTTACAGCACTCAACTTTTACAGGAGAGCGAAAAAACGGTTTATTCTTTGAAGGTATTGCCTTGATAGGCGGTGTTTTCTCTAGCTATTATTTTACAAATCTCGTATCGTTTTAATAACGAGTTTACGATTTTTAGGGTTACCAAATCTCATTTTAGCCACAACGGCGATTTCGGCGGTTTTTCAAAAACATCGACGATATGTATGTACATTAGACCGTACCACGTTAAAAGCAAACAAAAAAAGTTCACCGTTACGCCTGAGTCTAAAAGTAGTTTTGCAAGGCAATTTGGGAAAAATGTTTCCCAAATCCATATTTTATAAAGACTATAAATGTCGAAGATATGACAAAAGATATAGAACCCAAAAAATATTAGGTTGACTGAAGAAAATGAATAATAATACCGTCTGTCTTCACTTGATTTACCTAGAAACTTAGAAGCGATTAATCTCCGTGTCGTCTATTGATTTTTCTCTTTTTCTTTTATCCTCAGCATTTGTATTTGTACACGCAAAATGGTAGACGTTTAATTTGTTTGGTTTTGCACTTAGAAACTTAACTTCGAAATCAAAAATCTATAGTTCTCCAAGTTTCTAAGTGAAGTTGTTTTTTTTTTTTTTTTGTAACTACATACACGCGCTGCTCATTTGCCATAAATATAGTCAAGTCAAGTCTAAAAGCGTAAACAGACGACAGCTTTGATCCGGATCAACTCGTTAACTCGGAATTATCTCAGGAATTAACTGCAGTTGATCCGGATTAATGCCTAGAGTTAATTCCCAAACTTAACTCGGATCAATGGAATATTCGATGACAACACTGACCGAAAATCAGAGAGCGTAGAATACAGAAAGAGCAAAACTAGCATGGACACAACCCCTTTTCATCGGTATTGCAGTCACCATACTAATTCAGATAGGAATCCAATTAAATGAATATTGTACTAGCCGTGGGATTCGAACCTACGACCTCGCGGCTCGTAAATCCGCATTACTGCCGTCTGTCAAGGCACAATTTTGATCAGATCAATTGCGCCGTTAATCCGGATCAACGTTGCCGTCTGTCTTGCATAACTGAGCTTTAAGTCCAGTTTATGCAAAAAACTATTCACAATACCTTTCTAGAGGCCTTTTAAATAATTCAGTTACACCTCGTTCTTTGCCACTTTTATCACTGCAAGAAGAGGCGGAGCAATATCAAATGTATTGCTTGACTCATAAATTTTGCAAACCAATCAACTCCAAAAATTTTCTATAATTTAGGCAATCGTTTTTACAGCTCTTCTGATGCAAATCTAGCATAATTTTACTATGATTACAAAAAATCAGCAGAAGAATGTTCCTGAGTTCTAAGAAGTTCATATTTTTATGAATTTTTACACATTTTAATATCTGAAATTTTTGGTCAATTGTTCAAAAATATGTACATATGTCATCGTGTTATAACTAGTCGTGGGCCTAGTTGTTCCGGCCTGGCCCTTCCTGCGTGTAGAATACATCTTTGAAAATACGCCGGGCCAGTTTTCTTAAAACAAGTTTGAACAGTGTATGCAAATTATTTCTCCTTATTTTCACCATTACTATTCAGAATCGACCATTCTTCAAAGATACTGGGAAAATACATATGTACATACATGCATTCATATTCGCATATCTAAAACTTTGCCTAAGAACTCATAGCTATTTATCCTTCGTATTAAAAGTTTATTTACTAAAAAAGATGTTTTATTAATTAATTTTTTATTCAAAGATTCTAAAGAGGCCTTCTCAGGTAAAGTTTTTCAACATAATTAATATTAGAAACTTGGGAAAGCTATGTATAGTAACAAAGAAAAGGCTAGCAAGCGCTGTAATATGATTTTATACTCGAAATAAAAGTAATACTACTTACTATAAAACTTATAAAATTTCACACGGAATTATGCACATAAATTAACTATAAATGTTTACTTGAATATTTCAGGATCATGCCTGCCGCTCTGAGGGCGTTGATATGGCGCGTGATTTAGATTATAAATCTGCCGCTGCTTGGGTTGGTCATCCATATTTCGATGTAATCGATAATTCGACAAATTTCGAAACCAAAATGAATCGCCTAATTGAGGCCGTATGCCAAAAAGTTGGTATCGATATTGGTGATCGTCTACTTGCCACATCAAGAAAACTCAAATTTCTTGGTATGTGTTTGCATTTTTTATGGTTAAGCTAATATTTGAACTTATTTTAATTTGTATTGGTTGGTTGTGACTTACAGTTGCTTCATTACCACCCGACTCTGAATTTCCACCGTTTCAAGACTTCGATGTTGTACATCACTACTTGCAATCCTCAGGACCAAAAGTACAAGCGCGTTTGCGCAAACGTGGCCAAAAGAATCATTGGAGCTACATCCATACAATACGCCGTCCCAATGTCCATGGACAGTCGCGCATCGAGGTGAAGACACAACTAACACATCGCGACTATATGAATTTGTTGGCGCAACGTGACGATGCACATTTCACCATCTACAAGAAGCGTCGTTGTTTCCTCATCAATAATCAATATTTCCAATTGGATATTTACAAAGAGCCAAGCCATCCACGGTAATTTGCAGCTATTCACACATTTCGTTTTGTTGTTTTTTTATTTTGTTTGAATTTTTATAGTCTTAATACAAAATGTTCTGTATAATCTTTTTCAGTTGCAAAGGTCTAGTCCTCTTAGAGACCTATTCATCACACTCAGGTGATGCGCTTAAAAACTATATGCCAAAATTCTTGAATATCGTAAAAGAGGTCACCGGCGATCCAGCATATTCCATGTTCAATTTATCATTGCGTGAAGACTGGAGTACGACAAAGAAATTCTGGCACCCTTTGCCTGGTAAGGATGTCAGCAAATCTAATGAAATTAAATGTGAAGCCATTGTCGACAGTGACTAATGCCTTGCATATGATGAGTGCTTGCTTGTTTGCTTACCCGCCTAAATTACCTACTAAATATTAATATAGTATAAGTAAAACAAATAAATATGTATTGCACCGCTGTAGCATACCATGCGCTAATTAGTCGCTAATACTGGTAATTATGTATATAAATATGTATAGACATATACGTACATGGGCCTATGTGAATCTATAGTAGCTGCGTGACTATGTACTCACATATAGAAGTGTATTGTAAAATAATGTAAATTTTAGTAAAATTTCTACTAAACAACTTTATGTACTGAGAGGAAGAGCTTAAACCTGACGCTTAACCTAAGTGAAACTAACTTTTTAGTATCGGTTATAATAATATAGTATACAGAAGATTAGTTTTCATCATCTGCTACGTACTTTTAAATTATTAACCAGTAAATGGAAAATGTATGTACATATATACGTACATTTTATACGTTCAAGTTTGTATCGGATTGTATTTTTATGTATCCAAATTATTACGGTTTGAAAGTCATTAACGCTGTGCGCTTGTTGACCGTAATCTCAACATTTCAATACCAGTACCTCTACCATAAAATAGGGGTGCGCAACAGCCAAAAACGTTTTTTTTTTTTTAATAGCATTCGACCTTCGACAGGCCAAGGCAATCCTCCTAGTGTATTTTTTCAATGAGAAAGGTTTCTATAAAAAATCATTTGTCGTTCGGAGGCGGCGTAAAACTGCAGGTCACTCGCATCTAACAACATCAAGACACACACCACTAGCCGATACAGAAGCTCGGCCGTTTTCTCAAGTAGGTTTTATAAATTTACATATTTTTTTTAGAACAAAACTTGTGTTTAAAGTGCAGTAAATTTTAAAACCTACTTGGGAAAGGACCCTTGAAGTGCCATGATAGATAACTGCGATGTCCACAGTTAACAACTGAAATCATTTTAAATATCATAATTAAAAATATATTTAAACTAAAATCATTTTCCTATTAAGACGAATTTCGCCATTTTATTTTCATTACACCGATTTGAAATCGAGGGAAAAAATTTTAATTTCGCATATCGCAAACTTGCAATTTGAATATCATATTGATATTTTGAGCATACCGAAGGAATCAATTGACCATTTTCTGTGTCGATGTACAGACTTGCAGTCTAGTCGAAGGCATAAAAGTTTAAGTCGGGAGGTTGGTTTTAATTTATTGGACCATTCGGGGACTACGATTGCTTATAACACACTACACATTGAAAACTATTGGCAATTTAATTCCACTAACCCTCTCTAATATTCCCAATCAAGTCTCATAAAAACCATGAATTCCAAAATGTAATAACACAAAGCACGCACAAGTCTTTTATTCCCAAAGTATTGCAAATTAGAATGTCCAGCAATGTATCTTTACTGTAATGTTTTCGGAGGGTACTAGCTGTTACTGCCGATATAGGAGTATTACATATATGTTTTACGCCTAATTTTACCCCACTTAGCTAAGTCTTGAGCTTTTAATTTGTATGTCGCTTAATAATTTAAATAAATTGTTTTCTATGTTTTACTTACACTACATATTCTATTGCATGACAGAGTACCTTTGTACATACACACATACATACATACATGCATACTTACATATGTATATATATTTTTCTGTTTGTTTCTTTATTTAATTATAGAAGAAGTCACAGCCACTAATGCCAGCAAATCAAAACAATCAAACGGCGTGTCGAATGCGCAATTGGTACTTAACGGTCATGCCAAGGGTTAATTATGTGTATGTAGCATGCTGTATGTCATTGAGAACACCCTTTTAAATAATTTTATAAACATAACAGATATTTATATAAATTTATAGTACATACTATCCAAATTCGATGTCATCGCTCACTCTCATATTTTGGAGGAATTCACATCAGATTTATTCATATAAATGTTTTGCAATTACAATTGTTTAAGAATATACCTCCTATGTGCATCTAATTGTTTACACCGTACTTTATTGCTAAAACGATTTTCTAAAATGAACTCAGAAACACGAGCATTATTAACTAATTCAAAGCGCTTTACTTAAAATATATATTCCTACATACGAGTACTATGTATAGTAATACAACAAGGCTATACAGTAGTGAATATTTCATTGTGGTTATACGTTTTGGAGACTTTTCCGCAAATTGCAAATTATGTGCTTTACTTATTGACTCATAAAAATATTTTGAAAATTTTCACTTAAAACAAGGGCTGTACTGTAAAAGAAAAATTATGAATAATTCTATATTTGTGGTACTTAAAAAACACTCAACTAATTTACACATTTTGTTTCATTTGTCAAACTTTTCATAGCTGCGAACTATAGTTTTATTGTAATTTTATGTATGTAGTTGTTGTAAGTTTTAGCTGATATCCAAGAACAGAGGAAGAAGAACTAAAACAAAGATAAAATTAAGTTGAAAGGACGAATAGCAAAAATGATGTCGGCATAATATTTAATGCTACTTTGCTTAAGAAAAATATTTATTAGAATTTGTGAAATATCAGCCATGCATGTGTTATACATATTAGCTCACCAATTTGTTGTATTTGGATATTTCAAGATATAATCTTGGGATAAATCGATAAATTGTTAGAAACTTTCATTAAAAAAAAAAAAAAACAATTAAATTTATGCAAGAGTTTTCGATTTGGTAATTGATAGATAAAGCGTAGACCATCAAATAAATTATCGTTTTTTCTTATGATATTTTAATATTGTTTAAGCTATACAAATGATTATTTCAATGGATGTACTATTGTATTTGTAACTTAAAAGGATAATAGTGTGAAATAATACCATTCATTGTTATATAATAAGTCACAAGCAAATATTAGAAAAAATGAATATACACATATTAAAACAAAAAGAAGATTAAGAAACCAAATTTAAAAATTATCTAAAACAAAACAAAAAATTTAAAATAAAATAACTAGATCACCGAGCTAAAAGAATTTCCGCATTTTTATTCGATTCAAAATGGTTGCAGGAATATTTCCCTATTACCTAATCAAATAATAATGAGCTTCATTGCGAGTGTCGTGTCGAATGCAAGTCGTTTTTCGAGAGTCGAGTCGTACCGAAAAGTGCATGGCATTACCTAAAAATTCAATTCGACTAGTGTATTAAAATGTGAAAACTTGGCAGCACTGGATAGTTTTCGACAATTATCGTCGTCTACGACAATATGCAATGCCAATGTTGTCGAGTCGTGCATTTTAGTCTAATTTACGACGTACGCAATGAGGCTGAATAAGAATATTCTCTGGAAACTAAATAAGCTGAAATAAGAAATAAATTATCTCAATCAAAATTTCCACGGCAATTACAAAATTGCAGTCAACAGCTTTCAATTGCCAGTTGCCATCGGCAATACCATTCCAGCTACTGAAAACGCAACTGAAGTTCGACATGAAGCTGTAAATGGGCAGGTTTAGAAGGCGCATCAGTTGAGCGCAACCGTTGCTAAAAAAAAATCAGTGGTCGTTATGTGTCTTCTGAACGACTTCATACATTAGCTGTCAAATTCAACTCTCAAAGGTACACACCAACATGTTGTCTTAAATGATCAGAAAAATATTACGATCATCTAACACGCAACTCTTCAGTTGATCAGAAGTACGCAACAACGCGTTCAGAAGGTGCAATCGTACCAATATAAAACTTTTTCAATAGTGACGTGTTTACGTTCTTAAAAATATATCGAGCCCCAACCTCCAATATAACGTAAGCGCCATTTTTTTCAAAATTTTCTTTTCGATGCAGAAATACATCTAGATGCCCGAGGAATATTTCTGCATCAAAAATAAAATTTACAAAACAAAATTTCGCTTACGTTATTTTGGCGGTTAGGGCTCGATATGTATGTACATATATTATTTATGAAAAAAATAAAATAAGTTTAATGCGGTAAAAATGAGCCGAAAGGTCGCGTTAAAAAAGTTAAAAGAAACTGTGTAAAGAAATTATAAATTTACTATGAATAGTGAAGTCCGCGGAGAACAAATTGAACATAACGTTAATTCCATTCCAGGACCCGCTGCGCTAATCGGTGGAACATTCGAGCCTTCAAACTATGAATTCTTATCCTTGCTTACTTTACATTCAATTAAAAATGTATTAATGAGAACGGCGGGGCTGGGCGCGACACAGTGTGGCGCGTGGACGCGGGCCGCCGCGAAGCCACGCAAATTTAATGTTTGAAAGAGGAATAGCGTCAATGGATTTTATTTCGCTTTTGAAAAGGTATACCTTTATTATTATAATAATGTCAGTTGATCTTATTTCGCAACAGTATGGGAAATAGTGTCAATTGACTTAATTTCCGTTAATCGTATTACCTGTCACCCCTGCGACATCGCAAAAAGGAAGTATTTGGCCACCCAAACAGACAGCTGCTTGCAGAGGAGCCCCCGCCTAGGCACGTCAGGAGGCATCTCTACGAACTGGCGGACGAAATCCAGAGGTTCATTAAGCAGCCTCTGAACCCGTCAGCATACCGACAGGCCCTGAACGGCATTCACCACCGGACATCGACGAGACGGAGCTTAATCTGCCTCGGGAGACAAGAACCACAATAGCCCAGCTTCGCTCTGGCTACTGCAGCAGGTTAAACTCATACCTGAGCAGACTAAACGCGGATGTGCCAAATGAGTGTCCGGCATGCGGAGACACCCCTCACGACTCGAAACATCTCTTCGCATGCCCGGCAAATCCGACAACCCTAACGGCTTTGTCCCTATGGACCGACCCAATGGAGGCTGCACGCTTCTTAGGGCTGCCGTTAGTGGAACTTGACGACAACGACTGAGATATCAACCGATCTGGGCGGAGTTGTTGTAGCCGCTACAACACCAACAACAACAACATCCGGGACTTATCCTGGACTCCAAACTCCCGTGCATGTACATGTTGGGGCGGCCACTTTCGAAACTACGAGAGCGCGGATGGTGTGTAAACGTCTATCAGCCAAATCCTGGATGTGCACTCCAAGGATGCTAAGATGGATGTACACCATGATATTACAACCAATAGTAACCTAAGGGGTAGTGACTTGGGCTTCCAGCACTACTCTGGTAACAGTGAGGCGGACCCTCGCCAAAATTCAACGTATGGCATGTGTTTGCTTTCTAAAGAAACTAAAGCGTGTCTCTCCATAATAGACGTACTCCAGATTGGAATGCTGTATATATCAAATATCTATTATATCGATCTGTTATGGAGAGACATGTCAAGGCGAGCACACTACAGTCATATACAGACGGCTCGAGGACTCCTGAGGGTATGACCCCAGACTGAAACTTTCGCTTCCCCTGGGAACCTTTCCAAGCATCTTCCAAGCGGAAGTTTATCCCACCATTCCGTATGCAGAGATCAACCATCGCAGGAATTATCGAAGTGAGAGGATCCAAATTTCTCGAGGTCAAATACTCAGTGGTCCTACAGTGAGTAAAGAAGCTAAAAACCCTGGCGGAGAATAATGTGATCCAATTTTGGTGGGAGTTGGGAGGAAATGAGGAAGTCGATTAGTTAGCCAGAATACATGCTTGACCCCGATAGGACCTAAGCCTTTCGAATACGAAAGATGAATTAATTGACTAGATGGCGCAGATGACGAGATATCTGGAAAACCCTTGTTTATGGTCCGATATAAACAGTCAATATTTGGAATGTATATACTTGCATGAAAATAAATAACTCCAAAGAAACGTTGGCCGGATAGGTGGCGCACGAATAGAGGTATGTATTTGAAAACCCCCCGTTTATAGTCCGATTTGATTTATATTTTTTTAACGTATATTACTTAAATAAAAAGAAATTTCACAAAAAATTGTACCACTTATAAAGCTTGTCTTAAACACCTTAAATGCATTCTTTATTACTATACCCATTTTTAACGATATCTGTTTGAAACAAAACTGGTCAAAAGTCGAAAATGTACGGTTAACCTTGAAATGACATGTCGTTAACTGACCCAGTGTCTTTTCAACCTTGGTTGACTGCGACTGACGACTAATTGTTTATAGGCGGTTAGTCGAACGCGAGCGATTAATCAAACAACGTTTATTTGTTTACATTTTACTCTGCAATGTCATTTTTTTTGATATTTTAGAAAAGTAGCAGCTTTAGAACTCCTGCAAAAGAAGCCCTAAATACGACCCTTCTGTGAATAGTGAAAGTAGCAGGCCTTCAATTTGTGCCATAAAAGAATGCAGAGTGAAGGCCTCTCGACCCTCGTGAAGGTCTTTTAGCTCTTGAAATTCTCTACCGGGACCAATTGTTTTGCCGAACATGCGCAACCTGAAGTAAGTAGAAGAGACTTTGGCAGCTAACGGCAACCGGTTTGCGCGTAAATAGGAAAATGTCTGACACTGGGTGTTTTCGAGCTACGTAATAATTCACCGCAATATTGCAGCTTTGTTGCTTTCTTGATATGTTGCTGATGTTCAACTGAAAATCTTTTGACATTTTTATGTTGCTTTTGATTTGACAGTGATGAACAACTGATTGTCAAAAAACGCTTGATGTAAGCAGGGATCGAATCGTCACATACGATATCGTATTACTCGTCACGTAAGAACATATTTTTCGGATTATGACATACGTGAACGTAGAGGCTATTGGGAAATGCAGCAAACCAAAGCATCAGTCCCTTTTATTTGTGAACTATAATTGATGGAAATGTGCAATATGCGCAAACTCGGTTAGATGCCGAATTGGAACTTAGTTGCACATATTGGGTTTTTTTCTAGCAATTAGGGTTTAGAAGTTTAGTTTGCTGCATTTCCGAATAGGGGGCTACTCTTCATCCCATTCAACTTATACGTTTGACATATCACGTAATTTTCTTTCGTATAGTTTTCGATCCGTGAACGGATGTTACGATTCGAGCCGTGAGTCGCCCAAATTTTCGCGTAGAACGCGATGCTCTTAATGTTTTAAATTGCGACGAATAATAACCAAATTTCAGTTTCCACTAACATTAAAATAAAACGCATTTTTTTAATATTTTACTCAATTAATTAAAATGTAGGCTTTTATTTTTAATGTTAATCTTGTTTCTTATCTCCATTTTGAATTTAACTTAGCGCAATTATATTCCTATTTCGAACGGCATAGTATGTTTTTTTTATTTTTGTTTTTTATTTTATTTTTTTGCATATTTTCCAATTAATCCGTTTAGCAATACAAAATAATTATATTCACAATAACTCTTAAATAAAAGTCAATACAAGTAGGAAAAAATGCTTATTTTTTAAATTACATTTTACATACTCCCATCATATCGTATTGTGTAATTTGATTTCTTGTTTTGAGTTGCGTACAATTTTTTACACAATTGTTGCTATTTACAAGCGAACATAAACAGAGTTTTCCGTAATAAGTGCTGAACATACCAGTTCTATGTATATAAAATATACTTACAGACTTAACATTAACGTTGTATTGATAAAAAATTTTATATTTAATTGTTATCATTAAACCCCAATAAATAGATTAATGCACTGATTTACCAACTATGCGTATTTTCCTACATACATATTTCATTTACATTAAAGTTTCGTAAGAAAAAAAACCAGTTACCTACATTTTTACACAAACGTATGATTAAGTTATAAAGATATCCGTATTTATGCGAGCGTCATTTACAAATAAACCTTTAACTCATTAAAATCCTTACGAGCAAATATGTTTACCAAATTAAACAATATATAGGGAGCTGCTCTGACAGTTATGTCTCCACTTAAAAAAGCAGAAAAACACATCAGCAAATGGAACCTATGCTTAAGAAGCACAACTTACATAACTAACTATTAATTCAAACACTATGCGTTTGTGTATATTTATGTATTACCTCAGTTGTACCGAGCAGAGTAACAGTAAAAACTAATTACTGCAATTCAGATACATGTTATCTCTTCTAAAATAAATTAGTTTACAAAAATTAAAATTTTTGCATGGAAAATATGTGTGTGTGTATGTGTATGTATGCCTTAATGCCTAAACTCGTGTTTAATTGCAAACATTCAACATTTTGATTAATAATCCTAAACAAATGTATTTAAACCAATGTGGTCACCAACCAGCTTGCTCATTCGCTCACTTTGAGCGAGACGTCTTCCATGTTCTCATTTTTTATTAATTTCTTTAGCTGCTATCGAAATATAATGGGACACAATTTCGTGATTTTTTTTTTGATTAATCCACAAGAACCCGACTGGCTAAGCGTCGACGCTGCTGATTGCCGCTCGCATACTTCTGACGAATTCAACTTTCTAGCTGCCGATTGTTGTTGCCCAAGCCACTATTGCTGCCAGCTGTGGACAATTTAGTTACATCCGTTGAAGATGTTAACACTTTTGTCGTAACCGCAACGCCACTCGCACTGCTATGAGTTGTGGGTGCTGATGATGTTGATACTGCAGCCGAGACCGAAACGTTGGATGGCGGCTGCACACTACTATTGCCGTGGGATGTTGTCGGCGCCATTGATGTTGCTGGCGTAGAGTCCGCTATCGGCGCGTTAGTACCGCCGCCGCTACCGCCACTGCCACTGGCACCGGCGACAATGCTGTTTGCGCCACCACTGCTGCCGCTGAAAGTCACTTTGTAACGATTGTAAACACGATATGGTGTGCGTTTCACATCGTTTTGTGGTATCACTTTTGTTTTCAAAGCCCAGTTTACACTACTGCTATTTGGCACTGTCTTGCCAAGCAACCAATCGGCGCATTGTTGTTGCAGTTGATCGCTTACATGTTCCGCCAACCACTTCTGTGTAAAACGTTGGAACAGTTTCTGTTTGCGCTGCGTTACGAACGAATGGGACTGCAGGGAATAAACGAAAACCAAAAATAAAACAGCAAAGTAAAAATGGGCGATAATAGAGGTGTTAGGGAGCATCCATCCGAAAATTAAGTGATACCATTGCTAAAGAAGTTTAACTTAACAATACATACACTAAATTACTCACCAGTTTTGCGCGCCGCACTGAGTCCCATTTGAACAGTTGGAGATTCTTGTTAATTGTGATCACTTGACGGCCGGATGAGTTGAACTTGATTTCGTCGCGGTCATTGACAAAATACTTCTCTGCGCCACTGCCCACCACTATGCTTCCCACGCGCTCTGGCGGTCGTTTGTTCCAGGTCCAGAGTGGTTCGCCGGCGCCTACAGTCGGTGGATTATTGTTTTTAGTTGATAATGAAGCGCTATCGGGTGTTGCGGCACCGCCGCTGCCAGCACTTCCACTCACAACACTGGATCGTAGCGCATCGGCCGTAGCGTTTGATGTGGATGCAGCAACAGATGCATTAGCTGTTGAAGTGGCTTTCAATTGCTGCAAACGCGCCTGTTGTTCGGCACGTAGGCAAGCCATGCGTTTGTTACGTTTAAGGAAACGAGCCTTGCGCGTGATGTGCGCATCCTATGAAAAAAAAAATAGTAAAGAAGAAATACCAGGGATTAGTAGACATATTTTTACCGCTGCTTTAAATAGTTCAGTAAAGTAATTCTTGCAAACTGCTTAAATAGTTTCAATACAAATTTGGTATTTAGCGTTCAGTGAAGAATTAAAAAAAAAAGTGGTAGACAGAATGTCCGAGTTATAAAATTATAAATCACTGCGCATGCAAACAACTTAACTTTAAGCATGAAATGTAACTTAAAAGCAAATTTAAATGTAATGTTTCTACTAACGAGTAGCACACGAAATAATGTAACACACATATTTTTAAATAACATAAGGAAATAAGTTCGCGACGGATAGAAACCTTAAAATGAAATAAGTACCAGGTCAAACGAGATTTTTTGCAAACATTTGTATCGTTTGCATTTGAAAAATTCACGTAACATCAAAACGAAATCAATAATGTTCATTATGTAGGGCTTAACAAATACGAAAGGCCGTCTTCAACAAAAACACTTTTAAATAAAAACTATTTGCTTCACGTAGCATCAGTTGGAAACAGCTCAGCTAAAGTTTTACCCGCCAGATGGCGATACGGCACATAGATATTCGAAATGTGAATTGGAAAAGGGAATGGAAATACTTTAAAAAAATATGTATCCGCTAGAGTCGTGGGGACAAGTCACGAATACAACAAGAAAAAAAAATGACGGAGCCATTATAAAGTGATGGGATAAGATGTTGGATTCATTAAAAAAATTCCAGAGAATGAATTTATGTATAAAAACTTATATAACCATTAAGGTAGCCTCAAACAGATGCGATACAAAAATTTACGATATGCGATCAATACAAACCACTGCATTATATGGGAGTGTTCAAACAGATGCGACATGGGCGATTCCAGCGAAAAGTCTACCGCGAAAAAATAAAATAAATTATTTATAGGCTGATTTGGCTGCTTTTTATAAAATGTATTATTGGTATATAAGCAGAAACATTTTTGCTAAAAAATGGTCTCGTTAGATGGCGCCAGGGTCGAGATATGTTTTCTTCCAGTTAAAAATTCTTTTAAGAACAATATTAACAAAACTTCTTCAATGGGAATTTTAGTAACGCAACGTCAAGTAACACCACGGCAGATAATTCAGCTGATTAAACATAAAGCAGAAAAGATTTCTACATTTAAACACTTGAAAAATTTATCTAAAACATTTCCAATATTACTACAAAAGCTCGTATACAAATAGCCTTGCCCAGTTCGCAGAGTTTTGCAATTAAGTAATCGAAGTCAAAATCCACTTCTGTTTTTTGTAACGTAAGCGCCAATCTATCATTATTATTATTATTATCTTTAAAACGCTACTACCAACAATTTTATTTTTTTTACTGAATTAACTCTTTTCTTCATGGTGGCCACAACAGTTAACCACCTAAATTTTGACGTATAATTCAAAACAGCCCTTTCTTACGGAAACAGTGTGTATTGAAACGTGTAAATAAACAAGCCGTGCAATTCTTGTTCTTGTCTTATTTGAAACAAACTAGCGCAACTGTTGTTTACAATTATAAAATTTCATTCGAAATCGCGAAATTCCAAGTCGTGAGAGTGTGTGAGAGTTGTTTCTTTGCTGGTAGGCAAATACAACATTTTGTCGATTATTTTTGCGCAAAATACGTATTATATTACTGTTAGTGTAGAATAAAACTAAAATTTGGTAAAACTTTTACAATAAGTGTACTTGTTCAAAGTGGTTAGCAGCGGTAACCACCGTTCGGTAAGTAGCTAAATTTTACGCGAATTTTTAGTGAAGTTCAAGATGGAACTAAAATTTATCTTGTTTAGAGGAAATGGCCAAGTTATCGGAAAAGGAAATTGAAAACCTATTGATATATGAAGAAATACCTTACTTATACTGATACCCGCACGGTGGTGATGACTCTGATAAAGATCTATCTGCAATCGAAGAAATCCCTCAAGATGAGCAACAGTTTTTACTAGGTGAGGATCTTTTTCCATCAGATGAGGAGTTTGAAGACGAAGTCCCATTATCCCAGCTGCTTGGACGAATTCAACCTGCTACCCAAGAGGTTCCGATACTAGCTCAAACCGTGCGACCTCCAAAATGGAAGATAAATTTACAACTTCAAGCAATTTGCCGGACGAAACAACTAGTCTAGCTGCAAGCCAACAGATGACCCCCCTGAAAATTATCAATTTGCTTTGGACGGATGACATTATGCAACACGTAACATTTCACACAAATCTATATGCGGAACAAAAAGGGGGTACTTATAAACCAGTTGCTGCAGATGAGATGTCGGTTTTTATTGCTCTGAACTTAGTAATGGGCGTGAAAAAAAGTCCAAGCTAATAGAGACTACTGGTCATCCTCACCTGATTTGCGTGACGAATACATAGCACATTTTATGTCACTCAGCCGTTTCTCATGGATTCTTGGAAATTTACATCTAAATGACAATAACCTGTTGCCCTCACGAAACAATCCCCATTACGATAAGTTATATAAGATACGCTCTTTCATAGAAATGCTACGAGAATCTTACAAGAAAAATTACAATCGCACAGAAAAAATTGCTATTGATGAATCAATGATAAAATTTAAAGGTAGAAGCTGTTTGAAGCAGAATATGCCGAAAAAGCCAATAAAAAGGGGGTATGGACGAAGTGTGCTTCTTCTGGCTATTGTTTAGATTTTGATATATATTCAGGAAAAGTCGGAAATAAAGTGGAGACTAATTTAGGAGGCAATGTTGTCAGAAAATTCTGTGAGGGATTAGAAGATAAAAACCATAAGGTGTACTTTGACAATTATTTTAACAGCTACGAACTGCAAGTCGATTTACGTCAGAAAAACATATATGCGGAACTGTAAACGAATCTCATAAACATCTTCCTACTTTGAAATCTGATAAGTCAGAGTCAGTGACAATCAGATGGTTTCCTTTATGAAATGGAAAGATAAACGCTGTGTTTTCATTTTGAGTTCACGATCCCAGAAATGAGGTTCATGTGAGAAGAACAGAAAAAACTGTAGAAATAGTCGAAGTACCATGCCCTCTATCCTTGAAAGACTATAATGAAAATATGAATTTCGTGGATAAATTCGACCAGTTGAAAGGTAGTTATGCGATTGACCGCAAATCAAAGAAATGTTGGCCCCGCATATTCTTTCATTTTGTGGACTGCATAGTGGTAAATGCTTTTATAATCTATAAAGAGCTATAAAAAGACCCTATGTCAGGATTGGATGATTTGCTACTTGCTCTTATATAAAGAAACACAAACCTGAAGTACCTGCAGCAATAAGGCTTGCTATGGGTAACCATCAGACTATAAGAGGCACTTCAAGACGCTGCAGTGTATGTAGCACGAAAAACATGCCTGTGCGTACTGTATGGAGCTGTAAAATATGCAAGGTACCTCTTTGCTACCGGGAAGGAAATTAGTGTTTTAATTATCACCATGAACATATGTAATACTTGTTTTGAATAAATAATAAAATTTAAAAAAATTTGTATACTTATTTCACAGTGGTTACCATAGCTAACCACCTTATAACTCACCCCCCCGCTGATGTAATTTAAAAAAAAATGCATTCATGGCTTAATTTTAACCCGGACACAAGACTATATTGAAATTTACGATTCTATCATTGCCAACAAAAAACTGTGCCGGAAAGAGTTAAATTGCTATGCAAATCTAGAAAACCTTTTTAAATTTTTTTTTTAACATTTTGTCATACAAGGGTAACGTAACGCCAGATTGGAAATACCCATACACCGGTGCCACACGATGCGTTCACAAATTGTATCGCAGCAAGCACACAATTGATCGCACGATAGGAACGACTCGTTCGTTGTAGAGCTCTGAAATGGGATTAATAATTCACCTCGTCCATTGTTCCCCATATTATCCGAATTAAAGTATCCGGAATAAAAAGATTCCCATATAAATGATGAAGCTCCGCAGTGTATCGTATCGCACCTGTTTGAGGGACTTGGCTTTTTATAGTTATCGCATCAAAAATGATATCGTATATCACCGCTAGCATCGCATGTGTTGGAGGCCACCTTTATACTCAGTACTTCGAAAATTCTTTGATTCGAAAAAAATCAATAAGTTAGAAAAATAAAAAAAAATCATAACCTACTGCAGATTTTAAATGAGCTCATAAAAGCTAGAACTGCTTTAAAGGACGAGCCAGAACGACCCTGCCTAGGACTGTCAAAGCACCTGATTCCCTAAAAACTCTGGAGAAGTATTATGTTGTTACAACAACAAAACCAAGAACTTGGAAACGAGAGTTCGACCGAAGGTAGATTTTTCGGCCGATGCCGATCGTTATTCATATACCCACATACATACATACATATATTACTTTTCATATCAATTCAATTTCATAGATTGTTTATAATGACATTTGCTAAAATTTCAAAATCAAAAGTTATCAAAACAAACTCTATGGGACTGAGAAATATTATTTTCTACTTTTTAGTCCATTTATAAAAGCGTTGTATATTAAAAAGTTTTTTTTTATATTATTTATTTTCTACTTTTTAGTCCTGTCTGAATAAAATTTTGCAATAGATATTAAAATAATTCAACGATATTAATAGAAAGGTGCACACACATGCATTCACATATGTATGTACATACAAACGAGCACCAATTAATTTTATTTAAAGAAATGGCGTGTCGTCTATTTCCGCTGTAGCAAACGTAGTACATAGGGCGACATCTAGATGTCATCTACCTCGCCCTATTCACTACAGCTGTCGCCCTATGCACTATGCTTTTTTATAGGGGCTTTTCAAAGCTTTGCTTTGGTGTCGGACACACAACATTGAAAGTTTCTGGACACACAACATTGCAAGTTGATAAAAGCGTTGTAAAAATCGTTATATAAAGGTTACTGTAGTTTTTAAACAAAACGGCCAAGTGCCTTAGTAATAGATTACTGGATTTGAGCTGCTTCGGCCGCTAAGTAGCAACG